TTGGGTTGCCTCAGCATGACACACTGTTGAAAACAGCAGGACCCCAGACAGACCTTTCTACCATGTCTGGGTAATCTCAGCAGGGCCAGGCCTCCCAGAGCAGAGATGGGCTTCCTGAGCAGTGTACATGCCACCCATCCAACCCCTAGGCCCTGCTCACCCCTGCACTCTGCTCTGTGCCCCCAGGGCTCCGTCATGATCACCGGCCCGCCTTCCCATGCCACCACCGCCATCCACACCCACTCAACTTGGGTCATGCCTGGCGGCTCTTAGCGAGGCCTGGCAGAAATGGGGTGAGCATCAATTGGACACAGCTGAATTAAGAATCAGCACAAGTCCAGCCCTGCTGCTGCAAGCAGCTGAAATGACTCTTTGGATTATCTGCCTCAGTGAGTGAGGGTGGAAAGTGAAGCGGCAGGGCTTGGGTTCTCCTGGAGTAAATGAGGGCTTTTCCAGGGGGCTCTTCCTCCAGGAAGAGAGGGGGAGATGTGAGGCATCCTGCCCCCATCTGATGGCTGAACTGACTGTTCCTTCTAGGACCCACTGCTCCTTCTGCCGCTGCTCTTCTGCTCAAGAACTGGCTGTAGCTAGCCTGGGCATCACATTCAAGCTACCTTACCCTCCTCTTAAATCAACCCCCACTCCCCACCGCTCCTTTGGCTCATCCACACATGTCTCCTCATGGTTGGACCATTCTGGCCTCCGTATCTTTGGTTACATTGTACCTCCCACCTGGAATGACCACTCTCTGTTTCGGTCATTTTCAAGACGGCCTCCTCCATGAAGCCCTCCCTGACGACCCCAGCCCATTTGAGCTCTCTCTTCGTTTACCAGCCAGCATCAGACACTGCGTGCCTTATGTCATCTAATCGAGTGTGGTGGAGTGGGCATTGGGAACAGATGAACACAGCCCTGCTCTGCCCCTTCCTGGCTGTGCAATCCTGAGCAAGCTACTTCCCCTCTCTGAGCCTCAGTTTCCCCCCCTACCCATGGGAGGAAATAGTCCCTCCTCACAGGGCCGGTGATGTACAAAGTGTTTTGCATGCCTGGTGCACCCAGTCCAATTTTCTCATTTCACAAATGGGAGATGGGGGCTCAGTGAGGGCAAATGACTTACCCAGATCCACGTCTCAAGTTAGCGACAGGAGCTAGACTGCCACTCTGGGGTCAGGAGGCATCTTCCCTAGCATCATGGGGCATCCTGTCCTTTGAGTGCATTTACATTATTCTCTCTGGCAAGAATCTTCCAGCCTTTAGTACCGTCTCGGAACCACAGGAACCCGGGAGAGAGCCGGGAGAGCCTGAGGGCCTAGCACTGGGGCGGGGTGGGGGTGTGTGTGTGGCCTGGGCCCTGGGTCCTTTCTGGGCTTTAGCCAGGCAGGGAAGGGCTGCTGGGCAAGCACAGGAGCTGCCAGTCTTCTGGGATGAGCCCCTGATCAGAGAGGGTACAAGGCTAGTGACCGCACACAATGGGGTGGCAGAGAGCTCCCTGAGAGGTGGCAGCATGGGGACCAACCAGAAATGACGGGGAAAGTCCAGCCGATGCCATCTGAGCAGGAGGCACCGCTGATTAATAAACAGCACTGACCCAGTCCCTTAAGCGTCTCCAACTGCCCTTGCCACCCAGCCCCTACTCCGAGGCTTCTTGGTCTATAGCACTAAGACCATCCTCTATTCTGATAGATCTGCCCACATCTTACCAGGTGATAAGAGATTTTGAACATGATTCCCCAGGAAGAGCCCTGCTGATTAACAATAACCCCATCTGGGGGGCTTCGTGGGCAGTAGGAATACCAGCCTGGCCCTCCACAAATCTGCTTGTCACACCCCCTGAGAGCAGCTGGTCCCTATTTCCATGGTGCCCTGGCCCCTGTTTACAAGGCAGCTTTCTTTCCCCCAGTACCAACTGTGTGCAGAGCAGCCGGAAACTCCTCTGACACTGCTGGGCAGGTGGGGGCTGGCACTTGGGGAGGTTGAGCCAGGAAAGGATTAGTAACCAGGCAGCGGGAGGCTCAGAGTTGTGTGCCCAGGCGAGTGGGCTGCGTCAGTGGAAGGCGCTTGGCAGCATGGCCTGCCCCTCCCCGCCGAGCAGTGAGCAAGAGGTGGTGGTGGGGGCTGCCCCGGCAGCAGGGAGAGGTGGGCATCCGCCCGCACCCGAGATAGTCACAGTGATATCTGTTAACCCTGAAGTGGGGACACAGAGGGTCTGGGTAGCACCCTCACTCCGAGAAGCAGGCACATGGGGGCCCAGGTCCACTGAGGACTCGGCCCTCAAGGGTGGTTGGGCAAACGAGCTGGCTAGCAGACACCAGCCTAGCAGCTTAGGACAGGAAGCCATCTGACAGCAAGCACCGAGTGCCAGCCCCCCCTGTGGGGCCCCAGAGTAGTGGGGGGTGGGCTGGGGAGATGGAGTTAATCTGAGGAGCATCAGGGCAGCTCCCTCCAGAAGGTGACCTTGTGTGCTGGGACAGCTGCCACCCGTGCTGGGCAGCTTTGGGGCACAAAGGGCGGCTGGCTGGGCCAAGGCTGGCCAGTTTGTGGGCAGCCAGCCAATGCCTTCCCTGTGGCTCACTCTGCTGTTCCCCCCAGGGGCCCCTGCTCCCCTCTTAATCCCTTCCTTCCCTTTCCATCTTGGGTTCTGGAGAACAGGTGAGTGACAGACGACAGGCTGGTTCAGGCTGCCCCACGGGCCACCTGCGGCCAGGATCCTTCCCATGGGTCAGTTTCCATGGACAAAGGGGGAAGGTCCCGAGATGTGGAGTCTCTGCCTCTCCCTCCCCAGCTAGACTTGATATCCACAGCACATCCCCGCCCCCCCTCCCCTCCTCCTCCTTCCACACAAAGATTTCTGATTACATGTGAGTAGGAGCCCATTTGCAGAGATTAGCGTTGACCAGGATGAGGTGATCTTACCTGTGGCTTGGACTCGGGGGGTGGGGGGTGGGGTCCACGGGTGCTCCAGGACCCTCACACTGCTACTATCACAGCTTAATAACACCCCGACCCCCCTTCCTCTGGCCCGGGAGAGCAGAGTGCACCCCGTCAACTCCCTGCTCCCGATGGCTCCCGTAGAGGATCCCCCTCCTTTGCAGGGCATCGGACGCTGAATTCTGAGCCACTTTCAACTTGCTGCTTTTGTTGCCTGTGCTCTTGACAAGCCAGAGCCAGAAAGGCCACGTGGACCTTTGGTGTCCTCCATGTTTTCTCAGCCCCGGGCCTTCTAGAACCCCAAGGAAGGAAGGGTCCCTTAGAAGAGCTCCATGGGTCACTGGACATGTCCCAGGGTGCCGGGGTCTCTCTTGGAACTTACAGAGAACAGGGGTCATTTTATAACTAAAGTGTTTATTTCCATTCAGTTCACTAACCGATTGTTCTGCTCACATGCCTGCTTGTTTGCTCATAGGAGGGAGTGTGTGGCCAGACCCCATGGCTGATGGATTCCTGCCCAACCCCCCCCCCCGCCCCAGGGCTAAGACCTTGAGACTTGGGCAAAGTTGTGGGGGCTGGGGGGGAAGGGGGTCGGAGAGAAACCATACACTTTCCCTGGTAGAGGAAAGGAGCGTCTGCACATGTCTCTGAGGGTGACACTCTGCAGGGCTGGGGCTATCACAGTGAATGATCCAGAGCCCGGTTTAGGCTCCCAGAGGCGAAACTGGGTTCTGGCCATCTGAGGGCACTCGGGAAACTCCAAGGGGGCCTATTTGCCTGGGAAGCACTGGGCAAGGAGGGTGGAGAAGGGACAAGGTGTGTGGTTCTGCAGCCCTAGGGCCTGCTTCCTTCTCAGTCTGGTGCTTTCAAAAGCAGTCCTGGGTTGGGGGCTCCTCCACCCTGGCTCCTCATCCTCCCAAACCTCACTCAGTCTCTGAATGGCCCAGATGGGCCCTGTGGCAGTTGGATTTGGTGAGGCCTGGCAGTCGGGGGGGGGGGGGGGGGAATCTCTCTGCAGGGGGAGGAGGGAAGAGTGTCAATGAAAACCATATAAAAAATCCAGAAATGTGCATATAAAATCTCGCCCTTGGTGTATTGCCTAAGTCAGTAAGCAGAAAGCACCTTCTTCTGGGAGAAGGATCAAGTCCTCAAAAGGTAGGAAATGTCAAAGTGTCACTTCATTGTCATAAAAAAAACCCCAACAAACAAACCCCCCAAACCAAATCCACCCCTGACCAAAATACCCCCGAGTCCACGAATTGCTGTAAACAAACCCAAATGCAGGAGCAATCCTTCTCAGTGGCAGTCATAGCTGATGGCAGTCCCCCTGCGACAGGCCTCCAGGCGGGGGCTGCCGGGCACCGCGCGTGTGCGACAGGGACGTGGCGCTGCAGTCTTGGGGGGCTGGTCATCCTCAGGAAGGCTGACCTTTCCGGTGTCCCCACGGTCTCCCTGACTGAGGAGGACAAAAGCCCCCTTTCAGCCCCATGAGCCGACAGGAGAAACGAGTCTTTTTCATCGGAGTTTCTGAAATAGTCTCCAAAGACAGAAATTCTCCGGTTTGCCCAGCGGCCGCGGGAATGGCTCCCGTGGTGGCTGCCCGTCCGCCCGCCTGCCCCGTCTGCCTGGCATGTGGCTGCTGGGTGAGGCCTGGAAGAGCAGCCCAGGGACGGGGGAGAAGGGTGGCCCCTGTCTCCCCCTTCACATTGGTTTTCCTGAAATTGTTTCTTGGCTCTGGCCAGGACGCCTTCCCAGAGGGAGTTGGAGAGAAACTGCTTTTGGTCTCCGATTGGGACAAATCGCGTGGATCTCCCAAGCCCTTTTTTCCCCCCCTAAGAACAATGATCGCTTTCCTTATGAGAATCCTCTTTAAAAAATATTCCTTGTATTTCCCGCCCCCTCCCAGGATGTGTTTGCTTTTGTCCCCGTTCCCTTTTTTCCATCATCTGAGTTGCACATATTCCTGGTGACATCTCATGGCTGGAGCGCTGCTCGGTTCTTCCTGCTGCCCGTGGCCTCCTGGCAGGTGGCTGAGCCTGCGGTGGACGTGGACGGAGAACCAGGGGGCCGGCGTGTGGGGCGGAGGGGGCGGGGGGCCTGGAGGAAGAGATGAGCCGAGGCAGGTGAACGTCAAACCTCCACAGACTGGATCTGGTTCATCTGTGCCCGCATCACCTGGATACTGTTCAGGATTTTTTTCTGGTGGCCGGCCAAGGTGACCCCAACCCGGAGAATGTCCCTTTGGGAGAGAAGCATGTGTGTTAGGGAAATGTGGGGGTGGTGGGGGACTTTGGGCCAGGTGGAGAGCTGCCTGGGCTTCTCCAGGGGTTTCCTGCTGAAGAGAGCAAAGGACGGGGTGAGTGGGTGGATTCCCAGTGTTGGAGTGACTAGTGGAGGCGGAAGGAACATGAGAATGGGAGTCAGGACACTCAGGGGCCCGGGGCCTCCTCTACTCCAGGGAAGGAGAAGGGAACTTGCATTTATGAAGTACCCACACACTTTATATCCCTTTGATCTTCCTAACAACCTCCGGTTTACAGAAGATAACTGGGAGGTTCTGATTTGCCCTTGGCCACAGGCAGACCTGGGTATCGATCTGAATGTGACTCTGAAGTTGGCCATCTTGCTCCTTGGTCCCACACATCCCTGCTGGGACACTACCTGTTCCTCACCCTCCAGAGCCCCCTGCTTGGTGGGATGGCTGGGGAGGAGTACTGGTAACGGTGGGTGGAGGCAGCTGGGCACTTACTCCATCATCATCTGTGACACAACGTCGAAGGAGGTGAAGCCGGCATTGGCGAAGCTCTCCTTGTACTGCCCCATCTTGATGGCCTCCAGCCACTCATCCACCGTGTTAAAGCTGGTGTAGTCGGGGATGGTGCGGTCCAGCAGTGGCAGGTTGATTCTGGAGGCAGGGGTGGGCAACAGAGATGGTTAGGGTAGGTGCTGGGAGAGGGGCGAGGGTAAGCATGGGTGCCACTGCAGCTTTGTACCTACACATGTGTATCCATCCGTGTGGACAAAGGTGAGTGTGTATGTATGTATTTCTGTGTGAGAGTGGGTGTGCGTTTGCACCTTTATCGGTGAGCACACGTATGTGCGTATGTGAGCGTGAGTGTGTGTGCAGGACTCAATGCTAAGGCCACCTGGAAAGCCCGGGGATGCCTCTGAAGGGGCTGCTGGGAGGCTGGACACAGTGGTGAGGAGCGAGATGCTTCTCTGAGCCTCTGATTGTCAGGAGGAGGTAGTTCAGCCGGACGAGGTGTGCTACAGTTCGCTGCTTCCTCCATGCTTCTCCACCCTGGGTGTGCTCTAGGAAGCTGTGGATTGCTCCTCCAAAGTCTACACAAGGCTGGCGGTGCTCACGGGAGCTGGCCAGGAGTGAAATGACCCTCACAGGGCTAAAAGCTCAGAGTGATTTTATCCGGAGAGTCAGGAGTGGCTGATGCAGGGCCATGGTGGGGAGTGACAGGTAGAGGCAAACGCAAACTGTGGGCCACAAAAACTTGGCAGGTGAAGGACTTGGGCCCAACGAGTCTCTGGACCAAGCCAACACTGGACCCCGAGGACCTCTGGCTGGACACCCCTCAGAAACTCTGATAGGGTCCCAAAGAGAAAGAGTGTGCAGGGCCAGGAGGGACAGGGGTCGGGGACAGCCACCCAAGCGCAAGGCAGTGGTGGCTCCAGGTCTGAAGGAGCATGCCCGGGGACCACTGGGAGGGGGCAGGCCTCAGCATCGCTGGAGCCAACACTGGTCCAGCTGGGCCAGTCTCTTTGAGTTGGGGATGGAGACTGAGCGTAGGTCTGTGTGCGTGTTTATGTGTGGTATGTACTTCTGAACACGTGTGGGCTTGGGTGCCTAGGGAGTGTAGGCGTGAGGGCCTGAGAAGGGGTGCGTATCCATGTGTGTGCGATTGTGTGTATGGGAGCATAAGCATGAGCTTTTGTGCCTAATGATGTGCAGGACTGTATTTGTGTAAGCATGCCTATGTGTGTGCGTGCGCACGCACGTGCATGGCTGTGTTGAGGAAGAGGCAAATGTAAGTTAGAGGGTCCAGGTTTGAGTGTGACGGCAGCCAGGCAGGAAACCAGGTGACCAGTCAATCTGTTTACCAACCAAGATTCTGGTAATTTTTCTTTAAATGCTGTCCTCTCTGACCATGCTTTAAAAAGTGCTTCCTTTACCATCTCTACCACTTCCTTCTCCTCTTCTGTGTCCTGGACTCCTCTGCACCCCAAGGCAGGTCTTCCCTGACCCCAAGCTGTAGTGCAGAGCCTTGCCTCAAGCAGGGGGAGCCTGGGCAGGGGGCAGGGGTGTGGGGGGGATTTGGAGAGAGGAAGGGCCGGCTGGGGATGGGGCGGAGATGTACTGGTAGGAGGGAGTGGGGCCAGACCAGAGCCATACCCAGAGGAGAGGGGTGCCATGGCTTTGAGGCTGTTGGGGTTTCGGATCATCTTGTCCAGCGTGTTGACGATCTGGCCAAACTTAGGCCGGTGGTTGCGGTCCTTCTGCCAGCAGTCCAGCATGAGCTGGTGCAGGGCGCTTGGGCAGTCCATGGGGGGCGGCAGCCGATAGTCCTGCTCGATGGCATTGATTACCTGGGAATGACACAGGGCCGGAGTGGGGTGGGGTGGGTGGGATAAAGAGCATCTGCCTCTGACCTGACCCATCCCCCTGCCCTCCATAGCGCAGGACAGACCTATTGGGTTGCCATGGCAACTGCCTCCCCTCCTGGATGCAGCCCCAGGGATGGGCCTCACCTGGGTTCCCACCATCTATGGCCTCAGTCTGACCTGGGGGCTGTGTGCTGGCCCCCTCTCCCAATCTTGGGAAAACCAGCACCCTGAGATAACTTTTGCCTCAGGGTCTACCAGGCTGACCCTCCTGTGGACCACTTTTCCCCTCCCTTTTCTGAGCCTCCTCCTGGCTTTGATGGCCCTGAGGACTCCTCTCTCTGTCCCTTCTCCCCAGGGTGACAACAACTCTTATTTTCAGTGCCATTTACTGCTCCAGGTGAGAGATGTCTCTCGGGTCAGGCCCCTCAGCATGGCTGCACAAGGCCCCACCTGGCTCCTCTGTCAGGAAAAGGAGACTCTCTCTAATCTGTCCTGCCACTAGGCCCAGATTCACTTTCCCCAGCTGGACTGTGGCTCACCCTCCCTGCTCAAGAAGCTTCTTCAAGTCCTTCCTGTTCTGTGTCATTGCAAATCAAAATTTGTTGGGTTGGCTTTCAAATGCCCCATTACTGAACCTTATCATCCTTTCTGACCATGTTTCTACTGCTCCCTAGCATGATCACTTAGCATCCCACCTCTGGGCATTTGCACAGCTATTCTGCCCATTCAAAGCCCTCATGTCTCCAAGTCCTACTGCTATGTGTGTTCCCCCTGTCCTGGGAAGACTTCCTGACTGATCTTGCTCACGTGGCCCTTGCCTCAACACCTACAGGACTCGACACCTGCTTTCTCCAATTTAGCACCTGATTGTAAAGTTCCTGATGACAATTGATTCCTGGAATAATTGTCTTGCCCCCCAGTTATGTGGAAAACACCTCAGGGGCAGATACGGTCTCATTCAGGTTTGGCCACCAGGTGAATGCATCTTGGAGATTTGCTGAATTGTGGATGTGTAGGCCTTTCCTACTCTTGACCCCTGGAGAGTCCAAGATCCTGTGCAGACATTCCAATCAGCCAGCATTGGGCTGGACCCAGCCCCCTTGGAAACTTACGTCCTGGTTGGTCATGTCCCAGTAGGGTCGTTCCCCGTAGGACATCACCTCCCACATGACGATACCATAGCTCCACACATCACTGGCTGAAGTGAACTTCCGGTACTGGATGGCTTCCGGGGCCGTCCAGCGGATGGGGATCTTCCCACCCTGGGGAACAGAAGGAGGAGGGTTAATGGGTGGGAGGCTGACCCGTCCGGCCTCTAAGTACTACTCTTCATCCTATATGTCCTGTGCTGTATCAATCCCACGAAGCACCTCATTCTTTCTCGAACTCACCATGCTGCTTCAGGCCTTGGGAATTTGCACATGCTGCTCCCCCCCTGCATGAGATGCCTTTTCTCCCTCTGCCATCTGGAAACCTCTTCTGATCCTTTAAGTATCTCTGAAAATCTTTCCCTAAGTCCCCAAAAGTTGCTCACTCTTTTTAATCCTACAACTGGGTCCCATCTCTCTCCATCAAGGAGGCACTTCTAGAGAGCAACACTCAAATCATTTGCCTGGGTGCTTGGCCCTTCTTGTACTATTTCTGAGCTCTTTGGGCAGGGGCTGTGTTGTATTCCTTTCTGTTTAAAACTCTTAAGCAGGAGGGGGCGCCTGGGGGCTCAGTTGGTTAAGCGACTGCCATCGGCTCAGGTCATGATCCCGGAGTCCTGGGATGGAGTCCCGCATCAGGCTCCCGGCTCAGCGGGGAGCCTGCTTCTCCCTCTGACCCTATCTCCTCTCATGCGGTTTTCCTCTCTCTCTCTCTCTCAAATAAATAAATAAATAAAATCTTAAAAAAAAAAACAACACAAAACTCTTAAGCAGGAGAGAGCCCTGAGCTTAGGCATCAGGGACTCCAAGATCAGTCCTGCTTGCCTCTCTCGAGTTACTGCCCACCACCTTCCCGCTTACAGTCTGTGTTCTAGTCACATCTTGCCTTGAGAACATCTGACAACCTTTCACTGGCCCTTCAGCTTTTAGCTCAGATGTCAACCCCTCTTAGTAGGGGCCTCCCAAGACTGGAGTCCTGACTTATAGCTCTGTTAGTCCATGTTTCTCTGCACATCTGTGTCCCTGGACAGCCTATGAGCTCCAAGGGGGTAGAGACTGTGGTTTGTGTCTCTATGTCTCCAGCGCACAGCACAGTGCATGAGCAGGTGAAAATGTATTGTAGGGAGAGATGGACCTCTATGCCCTCTCGCCTGGTGCTGTGGCCCCACTGTTTTCTGCTTCCATCTTACCAGCGCACTGGTGTAGGTGGGGTCCGAGGTATCATCCTCCAGAAAGCGTGAGAGCCCAAAGTCAGACACCTTGCAGACCAGGTTGCTGTTGACGAGGATGTTGCGAGCGGCCAGGTCGCGGTGGACATAGTTCATGTCTGCCAGGTACTTCATGCCGGCCGCAATGCCCCGCAGCATGCCCACCAGCTGGATGACTGTGAACTGCCCATCATTTTGCTTTGGGAGAAGTGGAGAAAACATACAGTAAATGGAAGGGCATGAATCGGAGCTCTGGATCATCCACACAATGGAAAACCAGAGCAGGACCCTGCCACCCTGGCCTCGTGCTCGCTGTGGGAAGGATTCAGATGCTTGCAGGGGGTGGAGGCTTAGAGAGGCCCAGGAGAGGTCAATTTCAGGGTGGTGGAAAGAACATGGGCTTTGGAGTAGACATAGCTGGTCTGACGCTCGCTCTACCCTTTGTTGGCCATGCAACCTTGGATAAGCGATCTGACTTCTTGAGTCTGTTTCTCCATCTGTGAGTGAAATGGGGATAAGTTGTACCCACCTTCCAGGGCTGTCTGAGTTAAATAAGAAGGTGCATGGAAGGTGTCTGGCACATACTAGATGCTCAGTAAATGTTCGTTAAATGACAACTAGTCTAGCAGCATGCTTCTGTGCTCTTTGTCCAGCTGGTTGACTGTGATCTGGGAGGGTCCGGAAACTTTCCTCTCTTGACCTTGTGCTCCGGACTCCAACCCCCAGCACACAGAGCTTTGGAGAAATCCAAAATCTGGTGAAAACCCTGGGCCAGGGTTCAAGAGATCTGGTTCTAGTCCTGGCTGTCACTTTGACCCTCTAGGTAAGCCTGGGCAAACTCTACCTGTCTTGGAGCCTCACTTTTCTCTTGTGCATAATGAGAAGGCTGGCTAAGAGCATAGATGGTAACAGATTTCAGGTTGTATGCCAACTCTGACTGACTGGTTGTGGTTTCCTAGATTGAAAAGGATTCTGAGATGGCTTCCTGATTTTGTGGGACAGAGTTCTGGGCTTGATTAGCAATGCCTGCCATGGGGAAGGGAATGGAAAGAGGCAGCATGCAAGCCATTCCTGACTTAGATCTTTCCCAAGACCCCACCAGGCTTTGACGCCATGAAGCTATGTCCACCGCTCCTTTTCCTCCCCATCCATGGGCCCCTGGCACTCTTGGCTTCTCCTACCCGGAGGAAGGAGTCCAGGGAGCCGTTCTCCATGAACTCAGTGATGATCATCACAGGCGTGCTCTTGGTGACAACACCCTCCAGGTGGATGACGTTGGGGTGGTCAAACTGGCCCATGATGGAGGCCTCGCTTAGGAAGTCCCGGCGCTGCTTCTCAGTATAGCCTGACTTGAGTGTCTTGATGGCTACAAAGATCTCTCTCTTGCCTGGTAGTTTTAGGTGGCCACTGCATACCTCGCCGAACTCCCCTAGGACACACACACCAAGAGAGGCAGGGTGTCACTTGCCAGGTGGAAGTGCCATCTGCCACTCCTTGTAGCCTCCACTCCTGGGTCCTGAAGGAGCCTTTTCTCCCCAGTGGCCAACTCATCGTCTTAGACAAAGAACCCCTTTGTAGAATGTGGGGACCCAGAAAGGTCCTAGCCATCACTAGGAGTAAGAGTAAACATTTCACAGCTGTCCCATGGTATTTGGCTGGGCATGGGATAAGGCTGTAGGGGAGGCCGGGGACATGGAGAATGAAGCACTAGACTGAGTCCAGAGAATGGGGTTCTAGACCTAGTTCAATCTCTGACATGATATGCAAGCTCCTTCCCAGCCCCATGCCTCAGTTTCCTCATAGGTCGATGAGGTGATTTTACTGTATGTCTTTGAGGACTTTTCTACCTTGGGTATTCTGAACCTTCCAGGTCTTGGAGGATCCTCTGAGGTTCCTGCCCCACATCCTATGCTCTGCCCCAAGAGTACTCCCCACTCATGGCTGAGGCCATGGTACCTGGGAGAGCACCAGCCACCTACCTGCTCCAATCACCTGCTCAATTTTGACACAGGAGATGTCAATTTCCTTGGCAAACTCCCGCACTGCCTCATTGGGGTCCTCATAGGTGAAAGGGTCGATGTAGATCTTCATGCCTGGGGTCACTGGGGGATAAGATCAGGCTTGGTCACATGCACAGACTCAAGATGTGGACAGATGGAAAGGCTAGAGCTAGTCCCTCTGTGGAGGGAAATACACTCCCTGTGGCCCCATAAGAACCGGGCAACCCTGTGCAGGTCACTTGACCTCTCTGGGCCTCAGTGAGCAGATGGGCATTGAGCTGAGTAGAAGGGTGAGGAGAACAGAGAGCTCAGCAGAGAGAACAAATAGGCTCTAGCTCTTGTTCCAACTCTAACTGATTAGTAATGTCTTCCTAAAGGAGCTAAAGGACTGTCAGGATTGATTAGCAATGTCTGTTAAGGGTATGGGCATAAAAGGATAGGTTTGTCACTCTTGTGTTAGAGAATCAGGGGGTGCAAAGTAAAGGAAGAGGAAGTCAAGAAGGAAGAGAGAGATTTGGAGCAAAAATACAGAGAGAGCAGGCAATAGCCCATGTTCTTGGGAGTCTGCTAAGGAGACCTCCCTTTCTTTTAAGGCCCAATTTAAGCATCCTCTCCTTTTAGGAAACTTCCTGGCTGTCTCAGCTCTCCCAGGCAGGCCCCAGAGCCTGGAGGGCTGCCCACTCACCAGGGTCTGAGGACCCATGGTTTCTGGGTACACTTCCCAGGTCCCTCACTAGCTAGGTCTTAAACCTTTCTAGATCTCAAATTCCCTGGTGATCAGTGTGAGGCTGGACATGTGGCCTATTAATTTGACTCTTGATTCGATGTACTTTTTTATTTGATGCAGAAATTAAGGATGTAACTTGGATGCCGAACACCTAATTCTGACCCTACCACTGAGCCAGCAAAACACTTGGAAGGAAGGGAAGGATGATCCATCCCACATTCTCCCTCCCATATAACTGGTCTTCTGCTGCCCAGGTCTCCCTCCGGCTTCCCCAGCAACTTGCCCACATTCTCCCATTGCTCCAGGAGCCATGACTTTGGAGGCAGTAGCTCTAGGAGTAGGGAGCTGGAATTCCTGGGCCATAGTAAGGCTTGACTGGCTGGTGAGTGGGGCCATCAACCCTGCTCAGCTGTGTGACCTTGGACATGTTAGTTGACCACTCTCAGTGTCTATTTCAGACATTCCAAGAATCTAAAGTTGGAACCTCTAACACATGGGTTGACAAACTGGCCCACTGACCATTTCATAAATAAAGTTTTATCAGAACACAGCTGCATGCATTTCTTTGCCTGTGGATGCTTTCACACTCCAGCGACTAAGTTGAATAGATACAATAGAGACCGTATGGCCATCAGAACCTAAAATATTTACTCTGTGGTCCTTTACAGAAAAGTCTGTCAACTGCTGCTCTAATACATTAGCTTTATTTTGGATTATTTGTGTGGGTGTTTGTCTAGCCCTTCATTTTATTTATTTATTTAAAAGATTTTATTTTCAAGTAATCTCCACCTGCAACGTGGGGCTCGAACAACGCTCTGCACGCAATATACACTCAGTGTCTATAGAGCTGAGAAGAATCCAGGTGACAGAGATAAAAGAAGAATGCAGCTACCACTGACCGAACCCTTGTGCCCAACACTGGGTCAGGCTCTTTATATGCATTATCTCATCTGTACGCAACAACTCTTGGAGGAACGGAATCATTATTCTCATTTCATGCATGAAGGAACTGCAGCTCGGAAAGCCTAAGTCATCTGCCCATGGCCACACAGCTAGCAAATGGCACAGCCAGGACTTGAATCCAGGTCTGTCAGACTTGAGCCTAGGGCCAACACTCTTAATCATCATGCTCATGGCCTCCTGCATGCAATCCAACCAGATCTGGCCCAGGCCTCCTCCTCCTGGACTGTTCAGCCATGACTCCTTTCCCAATCAGCGCTCCTCAGAGCGGGGACTTCAGTTCCTTGGAGATGCTCCTTTTCTCCCTCAAACTCAGTGTCTGCTCTGTGGTTCTTAGTGACTGACTTTCAGCCTCCCTCCAACAGGATTGAAGGAAACCCTTTCTGTCAGGCCAGCTGCAGAGGGAGGATAGGAATAGGTCAGCCCTGGGAGCTAAGGAGAAGTGCAGCAGGAACTCAAAGCTAACTTGGGCACTGCCAACCGATCAGATGTCATCCCCAAGCCTTGGCCAGGAGGGCTCTCTGTTGCTTGCAGAACTAAGGCAAGTGCCTTCACCTGGCATGCCAAGCTCTCCGTGTTGGGCCCCAACTATAGCTCCCTGCCCCTCTGTATGCCAGCAAAAAGAATTATTTACCCAAAGGTCCCAGACACACCTTATAATTTCTTGCCTCTGTGTTTTGTTTGTGGGGTTACCTCCACCTGCAATACCCTTCTCTTCCTCTTTGTGTCCAGATCAAATGCCACCTCCTCTGTGAAGCTTGCCTGGGTCCTTCCAGGGGAGATCCATGCTTTCTCTTTAGGCTCTGAAGCCCTGTCTCTGAACCCACTTATATGGCCCTCCTATCTTGTATTAAGTCTCCCAGATACGCATGCCCACAGCCTCCTGCCACCCCTTTCCGGAACACTGCTGCCTGTGAGGACTTGCTTTCCACTCTCTCCCTCAGGGGGATGGAGGCCACCTCTGTCTAGTTCATGCTAAATCCCAGACCCTGGCACACAGAGGGTGCTCTCGAAATGCTTATTGAAAGAGTAATAGCATTACCTACTGGAATTTCCTCTTTTTCTCTTTCTGCCTGTTTGGGATCATGAATACCTTTGAGAATCTGACAGAAGCTATGAATCGGCTCCTTGGAAAATTATTCACCTGTGTGTCACCCTCCCAGATTCGGCATATAATTTTGGAATGTTCACGGGCCTGTGAAGCTCTCGGGGTCTGTGAACCCCAAGTTACGAGCCCTTGCTCTAGAATGTTTTCTCTGGAGTACACATGTGAAGGTGGTATTCAGTAGATGCTTAATAAACACTTATTGAATGTATGGCTCTGAGCTGCCCCTGCTTCTATGACCCTCTGGTTTCATCTCATCATTAATAACACAATCCGCTCACAATTCAGTGTGGATTTGCCAGGTAGCGGGCCCTGGTCTAGGTACTTTACAGGTATCTATCCAATTAACCCTCCTGACAACCCTACCAGGTAAATGCTATTATTAGCCTGAGCCTTATGAAATTGTTAGTAGTTGACTGTTTCTGACCTACAAAACGGGCAATTTCATTTGGCTCAACCTAATATTATCCCCATTGTTTGGATGAGGACATCGGAATGAGAAAGGTTAGATGACCTGCCTAAGGGGACGGGGACAGAGCTGATAAGTGGCAGATGTGGGGTTTGAATCCAGGTCATGTGGCTGTGAGTCTACACTTTCAACTGCCAGGCTACTGTTTTCTTCTGGATGCTTCCCCATCCTGTATCCCGAAATGGAAGGGGAGCTCCTTGCGGCCGAGCCTTGCTCAAGGCCCGGCTCCCAGGACGGGTATTTGCTGCACTGAAGCTGGATGAGGATCTCTGGAGTCAGAGTCTTCAGAAAATACTGGGCTGTTGTTTGGGTGACTTATGACTGTCAGGGCCGCGACCTGCTGTCCTGAACCCAAAGGGGAAATTCAGGATGAGGGAGGCAGGAGGAACCACACATTCAGAGACCTGGTTTGAATTCTGGATCTGCCAGTACTAATAATCATAAATAAGCTCCTTTATGAGTTTGAATTGAGGATCAACCACAGTACTGATACTGCTGTGTGCCCTTGGGCAAATTACTTAACCTCTCTGTGCTTCACTTTTTTCCATATCTACAATGGAGCTCATAAACAGCACCTACAAGGTGCTGGTCTAGGTACTTAACTGCAAGGATCAAATGCGAATCTTTTTAAAGGGCTTAGTATAGTAGTTGGCAAATAGAAAACACTGAATAATTGTTACCTGCTATAGAGAAGAGTTGGCTATTATTAAATATTATTAGGAAGCACTTTCATATCCATTAATTCATTTTTTTTAAGATTTTTTTTCAAGATTTTATTTATTTATTTGAGAGAGAGAGAGAGAGAGAGAGCACAAGAGGGGGGAAGGTCAGAGGGAGAAGCAGACTCCCCGCTGAGCAGGGAGCCCGATGCGGGACTTGATCCCGGGACTCCAGGATCATGACCTGAGCCGAAGGCAGTCGCTTAACCAACTGAGCCACCCAGGCGCCCTCCATTAATTCATTTAATCCTCACAATTCTGTGAAAGAAGCATCATTCTGGCTACTTCCCATGTAAAGATGCCAAGGTTCAGAGAGGCTCGATGACTTCCCCGAGGTCGCAGAGCTGCCCAGCGGTGGAGCAGGGATGAGAAACCAGGTTGGTCCCTCTGGGCCACACCCAGGTACCATAGACCGTGGTCCTCACTCAGCGCCTGCTGAACGACGAGACACGTGAGCCAGTGAGGGTGACTTCAAGCCAGCCACACACAACTCCAGGCCTCAGCTTCCTCCTCTGTCCTGGCCACACAGGGTTGCTGGTGGGTGTGGGACCACAGGGCTGGCAGTGCTTTGAAAAAACCAAGGCCCTTTCTTAGATGCAGGGAGTAGGAGCTTGAGCTTTAGAATGTGTTGATCCATGAACAAATCCTGGGCTCTGTTTTAAAAATAAATCCCTGCTGTCCCCTGTTTCCTTGTTAGTGACTCACATGTTCAATAGTGATGCTCCCACATGGCTCCAGGTGACAGAGCGTGTGAGCCCACCTTGTTCCAGCTTAGTCGGATGTGGACAGCATGGCTTGGTGAGGAGCGTGGACCTCAGCTCTGGCCCTGAGCTGCTGTGTGACCTCTCTGGGCCTCAGTTCCCTCGTACTCAATTATATTACAAGGATAATTATAAGGATAAAATGAACAAATGCACGTAAAGCATTAAAACAGTTCTGGGCACACAGAACACCCTCAGTACAGTTGGCTCCAACTATAACCATGATTTCATTACTTGGGGAATAGGAGGGGGCGATGTAATTTATGACTTTTACTTTTAGTGTATGGGTGATTTTTAATTTCGGTGTAGTTAAATTGTTCTGCCTTTTTCTTGTGAGCCTTCCATTGCTTTTAGGTTTAGAATGTCAGTGAAATAGTTAGCTAAATTGTCTTCTGGAAATTTTAATGGTTTAATTATTTTTTACATTTATGTCTAAAATGATTTTTTAAGCTCAGGAACATTTACTTCAAATTGACTGTTAACCCAGAGGCTTGATATCTAGAACTCCTCGACTCTGCTCTTTCTTGCACACGCCACATCCGATCCTGCAGCAAATCGAGTACTTTCAGAACATGTCAGAATCCAGAATCTTCTCTGGATGATTCCAACAGCCACCTCACAGATCTCCCTGCTTCTGTCCTGCCTGGTGTCTGGCAGCCCCTTCACTCCATTCTCCACACAGCAGCCAGAGAAGTCCTATCAAAACTGTAACTCAGACTGTGTCAGTCTTTGGTTCAGAGCCTTCTAGAGGTCCCCCATTCCACTCAGAATAAACACCGAGGCCCCGCCATGGCTGACAAGGACCTGCAGGCTGGGGCCCCTCACACCTGCCCTTCCTGCTTCCCCACTCTGCTCCAGTCACGCTAGCCGGGAGGTGGCAGGCCCTGTCGCTCCTCCTTGGTGACCCCTCTGGTAGCCACTGCCCCCCACCCAGTGCCTCCACTTCCCCCACTGCCCCATCCCATCCCGGGCCAGGACTGGGGGCACAGGCGCTGCACACCCAGAGCAGACAGCCCCTCTCTAGGGGCCCAGCAGAGGCATAAAGCAGAGCATAGATTCCTCTCGATTTTACCCTGGCAGAACCAACATGGGGCGGGCTGGGGGGAGGGGGGCAGGGAGAACCTTCATCCTCTCTTCCACTCTCTCGGCAAAAGGGAATTCCAGATGGGACCGATGTAGCTTCTCAAACTGTACTCAGTGGGGTACCCTGGGGCTTCTGAGATGCCGCTGGGTAAGAGAGGCCATCGGCATAGCCCTTCACGTGTCACACAGTCTTTGTGACATGCTGTGTATGCCAGGCACCTGCTTTAGCTAGCCGGGGATACACAAGTAAGCAAACCACATATCCCCACCCTTGAGGAACTTAGATTCTGGTGAGAGGGCGGGGGAACAAAAGGAATACAGGTAGTAAATGAGAAAAGCACATGGCGTGCTAGAAGATGAAAGTGCTACAGCAAAAGGCAAAGTAGAACAGGGTGATGGGCTGAGAACTGCAAGGTCAATAGAACCGTCTATTCAGATAGGGCAGTTGGGGGTGGCCTCACTGAGAGTGTTTTAGTTGAGCAAAGACACGAACGAGCTGTGGGAGTGAGCTGCATGGACAGACCTGAGGGAAGAGCCTCCCAGGCAGGAGGAAGAGCCAGTGCAAAGGCCCTGAGACTGGAGTGTGCCTGGCAGGTTTCAGGAACAGCCAGGAGGCTAGCGTGACTGGAGCAGAGTGGGGAGGCAGGAAGGGCAGGTGTGAGGGGCCCCAGCCTGGGGACCTCAGCATCTCATGCAACTCATGGATTTATTGTGTAAATAGGAATCTAGTGTCGGCTAAGTGCCGGGCAGCGTGCTGGTGTTCGGGGGCACAGGTGAGTGTCCGAGTCACTTTCACGTCTCTGGGTGCTCCCACCATAATGCTGGGGAGACAGGGACACGGCCATCACGATGCAGTCAGGTAAGGGGGCGCTGTGCAAGCACAGACGGGGCCCTAAAGCCAGGGTGGGGCGGGGGTCAGGGGAGGCTGCTCAGAGCGGTTTGTATACACTGCGGCTGAGGGAGAGGCAGAGTTACGTGGGTAAAGAGAAGGCTAGCGATGCTCCAGGCAGAGAGGACAGCAGGTGCAGAGGCCAAGAGGGGACAGTGAGCTTGGCCTGTTCAGGGAACAGCTTGACGTTGAGTCTGGCTGCAGCAAGACGGGAGGCAGTGGAAGGAGGCTGGAGAGGTGGCCGGGGAACTGACAAGCAAAGGGCCCAGGGGTGCCAGCCCTGCTGGGGTATACATACTGTGGCCACTGGTGTAGTGCTGTAGCTTGTCCGTGTACTCCGAGTCAGCACGCTCAAAGCCCCGTCTTCTGGAACAAGAGCAAAGGGCTGGAGCCACCTGGAAGCCCCAGGGAGCTGGGAGCCACAGTGGGTGATAGGGAGAGGGAGGGCAGGCCCTCAAAACCACACCCCTGCCAGAGGGCTCCCTGCCTTCCCCTGGCCCAGCAGCCTCACCCTTCCTGGCCACTACCCTCCCCCCCATCCCTTCCCACCTCTCCCACCTCAAATCCAGGCTCACCATTGCCCCATCCCCTCTCCAGCCAAGCCCTTTTCAAAGCCATCTCTCATGGCCCCAGAAATCCCAGGGCTTCTGTCCATCTGACCTTATGGCCCTGTCTGATCTAAGGAAGAAGAGCATTCCTTCATGCTGAAGTTTTAGTGTCTCTATGCGCCACCTCCATGAACAGTGGGCTTGTCAAGGCAACTCTAGCCCAAAGGGATGGACTGGAGCTAATGGTGGCCAAGTAAGTGGGAGAGTATCCAGGCCTGCCCAGGCCTCTCCCTGGCCCTGGGAATGATGGGACTATCTCTTCGGCTCACAGACACTGTTCAGGAATGGTTGAATAGATGGACAGCCAGGTCTGCACGGGGCTGGGGACACCCACCCACCTGTTGCACACAATGGCAATGACAACCACAGCAATGAGGAAGACTAGGCCGGCCGCCGAGGAGCCGATGATGAGTGGCAGCTTCTCCTGGATGCTTGTCTGGTACTCGGCTGGGGGAGAAAGCATGTGCAGTGTTGTCAGCCTGGCTCTGGGGGTCCTGACGCCCCCCACCCTGCCAGGCCTCCTGGGATCCCCAGACTCTGTTCCTGCTTCTGGGAGAGCACCTGTCCCATGCCGAGATGGAGAACAAGCCGGGACACACTCACAGGTAACCTTGGACAAGTCCGCGGACTGTCCGACCCTTAGTTTCTCATCTATAAAATGGGCATAATACCTCAATGTTGGTACGAAAATCAATCATAGTAAGAAGCTGACATACAGAGAGGCAGCTGTAAGCACAGACTCGGAGGCCAGACTCCCTGGGCTTGAGCCCTGGCAGTGCCTTCCTGTCTGTGATCTCTGGTGAAGTGACTTGCTTCTCTGCAGCTTAGTTTCCTCATCTGTAAAGTGGGGAGAATAGTCCCTATCTCAGAGGCTGGTTGTATAAGCACTTAGAAGGACAGGTGGCAAGATAGTAACCACTCAGTAAATATGAAGTATTATTGTTATTCAGTGTTTTATTTTTTTGGTCACTGTGCTAAGTATGTTATGTATCTTGTTTGGTTCTCAGAATCCTCCTGTGATGCAGTGCCTATGCTTACCCCATGTACAGATGAGGACACTGAGGTTTAGCGATGCCATGACTAGCCTGGGGTCACACAGTTAGGAAGTGGCCAAAGCCAGCATGTGAACCCAGATCTGTGTACGGGCTTAAATGACATAATGCATAAAAGGCACTCAGCCTTGGCCCGGCTCTTCGCAACCACTCAGCACATTTTCAATGCCACCAACACCATCATTGTTTTTAGTTTTATTATTATGACTTCTCATTTGCTTCCATGACCAGACAAGAGCTTGTTGAAGTCGGGGACCGGGTAAGTTCTGGGTCCTTAGCACCAGCGCACATTTGCTGAGTTAATAAAGAAAGGATCTTGGGACAGTCCCCCACACTCCAGGTTAATGACATCCGTCCAACATGCAAGAGGGCCTAGAGAGGTGAAAATGCTGGCCACAAGGAGGTGGGGCTTTACAGAGGGGGTGCCGTTAGCGTTCCAGCAGAGATGGTGGATTCATTAGGGAGGGTATTTGTGGTAAGACGAGAATTCATGGGTCTAGGAGCCTCTGAGATGTTCAGCTAGGCAAAGGCCAAGCAAGGCCCATGAGCAGTGGTTAAAGCAGATGCTAAGAGGGGACGCTGGAGTCTGGTCATAAGTCAGGCTACCCTGGAGCTGGGCTGCTTGGTGAAAGGGCCACTAGACTCACAGCAATGACAACTCTGCCCTTAACTACTATTCGGTGAGCACCAACTACGTGTGAGACCTAGTGCTAGGTTCTATACGTTTAGCCCCATCTTTACACCAGTTTGATAATGATGGTGATGCTAATGAGATAGTTGTCACCATCCTCATTTATAGATGGGAAAACTGAGACTCAGAGCTGCTCAGGGCCACACTGTTAGGGCTGAGTCAGCACTGTAATTTCCATCTGTCAGAGCCCGTGCTCCTACCTCTGCTGGTCCTCAGAGATTATTAGAGCAGGAAGGTACTTAGAGACCATGGGGTCCCGGACTGGGAGCCACGCCGCACATGGGCTGCAGCCTCCCCTTCTCTTCCCAGGGCAGACATCACTAATCCATCCCAGCACTTCTTCCTGCTGAACTTCAGAATTATTCTCAATCCAGCTGCAAGTCATTGGAATAGCGCACGGGTGCAACAGATGTGCTCTCAAAGACTGAGTATGATGCTTTCATTTTGTAGATGAGAACAATTGGAGCCAGGGGAGGGAAGTGACTTGCTCAGAGTGTCTCTGCAACTTAGGGCTGAGCTCCTGACAGTCCCGTGAGAGGAAGCTGCCTGGCTGACGGGATGGCAATGGGGGAGTCCACGTGCTGTCCAGCCATGGACGCCAGTGGATGGCTTGTTTCCGGCCAGCAGGGAGGGTTGGCATCCAGAAGACGGGGCGCCTTTTCTAATTTGTACAAAGGCACTTTGAAGGAACGGGGACCTTTAAGTTTATTCTGTTTGCGGAGCCAATGGCCCCCTCTTGCCCTCTGGATGCTGCTCACCTTCTGTCATGGTCTGGAAGTACATCTTGCCGCTGTAACGCCCGTAGCCCGCCACGGTGCGTGCCCGCACCTGGAAGACATAGATGGCGCCGGCTTTGAGGCCCTGCACAGTGACCGTGTTGGTGGGGCTTTTTAGGGCCGTGGCGTTGTACTCACTGAGCTCCTGCCGAGGAACAGAGAAGACCATTAGCAAGGTGGTCGCCCACAGTGGGCCCAGAGCCCACTCCTGCCACTTAGGGTGGGTTTGGCCACGAGGAGAAACATCTGTGGTTCCCAATTCTTCACTCCCTCCCTGTAACAGAATTACACACCCATACTTTTTGCATGTGACTTCCCACAAAAGAAGGCGGAGTATATTTCTCTGCCTTGTGGATGCCGAATTTATCCATGTGTCTTGCTTTGGTCCTTGGAACATTCTAGAGGACAGGATGCAAGTGGAGGCTTTACATGTGCTTGTTGAGTTGGCTTGGCCTCTTGTGCTCCTGCCTTAGGCCATGATGGGGCTGAACCTGGGTAACAGCTGGTTCCAGAATGAGAAACGTGTAGGGCAGATCTTGACAGAACTCCTAGGCTGAAAACAGGGCCACCTCAGTTGACCCACAGACTCCAACCAATGGGCAAGAAAATAGGCACTTAGAAGCCATTGTATTTTGGGGACTGTTTATTTTGCAGCATCATCCTCAGTGATAGCTGATTAATGCACAGATGCTGAGTGGCCTAGACCCTGAGGTCTAGGCTGTGAATTCTTGGAGACAGCAGGAAGAGGGACTACCTTACCCACTTCTGCATCCTCCTCCCTGCCCCATGCCTTGGTAGGTTACGTGGAAGGACCCCTGTTCAGCCACAGTACACTTGAATGAGGCAAGAATTAAGGCCCAGACGGGGAAAATGATGCTCAAGGTCATGTTTGAGCTTGTGGCTGCTTTGGCACTCAAAACCAGGCTCCTACATGGAGCTACCTCTAATGTCCAAGGCTTGAGTACCCAGGACCTAATGTTCCCTCCTTTGAGAGCTGCAGAATGCCAATTCTGACCTGAGGACTGCCCAGGGTGACCCAAGGAGTACGGGACAAGACAAAGCTGAGCTGCTGCAGCAGCAACAGAGCTGTGGCTGAGTTGGATGCAGGCATCTGCCAGTTTATATGATGCTCGTGCAGACAGCGGTCAGCTACCCCCCCAAACCGTCCCCAAACACCCTCTTTGCACTAGGCCCTGGGGACCCTGAGGGACTCAGGCACGGGCGCTGGATTCAGAGAGCTCAGTTCAGAAACACAAATAGTGTGGAGACTTCAGCCCTTGGAGGAAGATCGAGAACGCCTCTGAGAAGCTGATGAAAGCTATGAACCTCTGTGCAGAAAAATGCACACCTGATTGTGCATGCCGGTCACGTGCATGTGTGGTGCACAGAGCCCTTGAAAACTCCCTCGAAACAAATTTGGTGAGTACAATGTCATTACGGGCATCATAGCCTAGAGGTTAAGATCACAAATTGGAGCCTGACTTCCTGGGTTCAAGTCCTGACTCTTCTACTTATTATTTTGTGACCTTGGGCAAGTTTCTTAACCTCTCTTTGCCTCCTTTTCATCAACTGTAAAACGGGGATAATAATGGTCACAGCCACTTCAGAGGGTTGTTTAGAGGATAAATGCATTAATATGAATAAAGCGCTGAAACAGTGTGCTGTGGGCATGTGACCTCGTCTGAGTGGGGCCATCAGGTGAAGTCAGGCAACGCTCTCTGCAGAGTGGGGTTATGCAATGGAATTTTGAAGAACATACAGAAGTCACCCGGGTAAAAAAAGGGAGGGCATGTTTGGCAAGGAGCACCAGGTGTGAAGGCAAGGAGGTGAGAAAGAACTTGGGATATGGGGGGCTAGAGAAGGGGCTGACTTGTGGGTGCCTCCTTCCCACCCCCTCACACCTCCCAGGGAGCAGCAGTACATAGGAAGTCTCTTTTCTTGAGCCAGCTCATCTGCCTCCTCCACTAGGAAGCCTGCTTGACCTCTCAGCCAGATGTGCCTCCCTTCCTCTGAGCCCTGGAGCACTTGCCTGGATGCCACAGGAGGGGGTTTCTGCTATGTCCCCTCATCCTGGGCACAGGCCGATCGCACAACCTTGACCGTAAACTCCTGAGGGGAGTGGCTGTGTTTTATTCCCCTGTACTAAGCACAGAGACCTGCACACAGAGACCTGCCCCAATACCCACAGGGTAAAGGCTGTACTCCTCCGCTTGGCCTTCCAGACCCTTCATGACTCACCCTTTGCCAGCTTTGCCTGCCACATCCCCAGTGTCCTCCAGGCTCTAGTTATACCCAAAGGCCTCCCCTCCCTTTCTTGGTAAGGCTGCCAGATTTAGCAAATAAAAATGCAGGATGCTCAGCTAAATCTGAATTTCAGATAAACTATGAATAATTTTTTTGTATAAGTTTTTCCCATGTAATATTTAAAACACAATTACACTAAAAAATTATTTAAAAAAATTTAAATGTAACTGGTGTCCTATATTTTATTTGGCAACCTTACCTTCCCCGGACACTCCGAGCCTTGGCAAGTGTTGTTTCCCCTATCTGAAATACCCTTTTTCCATCTGCCTGTTCATCAAGACTTAGTACAAGTACCACCTTTGCTGGGGAAACTTCCCAGACGTCCCAGAAAAAGTTGCAGGTCCATTGTCTCCTCTCCCACCTGTTGTTCTGATATGCATGTGTTTTCTCTAAGGACTATAGGCTTCCCGAAGGCAGAGACCTTGTCTCATTCATCTCCGGGACCGCAGACTCAGCACACAGTAGGTGCTCACTAACTACCGCCAGGAACAAATGAACGAACATTGTAGACTATTAAAACAAAAAACAAAAAACAAAAAACAAAATCTACGAACGCAGGTTGCAGTACCAAGACTGTCCTCTAGGTGCCGCCAGCCAACATGGAATCTGCTGGGGTTTGAAAAGGGGATGGAGTCTGCAGACTGCGTGGATGGGTGTCCACTTAGAGAGGGTGGAAGTTTTAAGTTCCTGATTATAGGATGGAGATGGGAGGTAACTGCCAGTGGCATAGGTGCCTCAGGAGAATGAGGAACGAACCTCGTGGATCGCTCTTCTAAAGCAGGGAACAGGACAGAGCGGGGGATTGGAAGTCATTTCAAATGCTGATTCTTCCCCTTACTTACATTGTGACCTTGGGAAAGACCCTTCACTCCCCTGGGCTCCTGTTTTCTACTTCAGAAAAGGAACAATAAACGCCAACCTCTCAGGGTTGTTGTGGTCAAGTGGTGTCTGGCACAAAGGAACTGCTCTAGAGACATCAGTCCCCTTCTCTCCTCCCCCGTGGCTAAAGCACCTGTATCTGAATAAGGACTAAGCATTGATGGGTTAGGGAAAGAAATTTAGCATGAAATCCACTAGTCCTGGGGCACCTGGTGGCTCGGTCGATGAAGCGTCAGACTCTTGATTTCAGCTCAGGTCAAGATCTCAGGTTTGTGAGATCGAGCCCCACATTGGGCTCTGCACTCAGCGTGGACTCTGCTAGAGATTCTCTCTCTTCCTCTCCCTCTGCCTCTCCACCCCCCTGCACTCACTCGTGCTCTCTAAATAAATAAGTAAATAGATAAATAAAATCTTTTTTTTTTAGATAAATAAAATCTTAAAAAAAAAATCCACTAGTCCTTAGTTTGAATCCTTACCCAGAGACTACCGGCCAGTGAGCACTGGGTGCATTTCTTAAGTCCTATGAGCCTCGGTCTTCTCATCTTTAAAGTGGGATAACATCACCATATGCCACACAGAGTGGGTGTGGAGATTCAACAGGGAAAAAATGGGTAAGGCTTTTAGCATAGTCTCCACATAAGGACTTAATAAATATTGGCTATTGCCCTCGTTGTCAACACCATGACAGGGTAAGCCTTCACCGATGTTCATGAAATGGATGAATGAATACAAAAGTGAGCGAGTGTCAGAACAAACCTCTCCTTGTCCATACTGGACAACTGTCCACACTGCTCCACGTACCCTGGACAACAACCAATGAAGCCTGGATTTTCATAGCTCATCCCCACTGCGCCCAGCCTTCTTTCCCCTCTGCTCTGCCAAGTAGAAATTTCTGTTGAATAAACACAAATCGATGAGGCCTACAGGGGCCCATCGGGCATAGGTGGCCCCACAAATGAATCTCCTCCTGGAGTGCTGGGGGAGCCAAAGGGAGAATGAACCTGCTCTGGGCAGCTACCAAAGGAGGCCACCTCCCCCAGGACGCTGGAGCCGATGGAAATAGCCAGCGTGGGTCTGGCCAACACCATTCGTCAGCGGCATCCAGAAGCCTTCCAGCAAAGTGGTTTTTAGCTCCGGGCTCCGGGCAGGCTGGGAAATCCCCAGTGGAGCGGGGGAAAGGCCAAACGGAGAGCCCGCTCCAGAAAGAGCCCTTTCTAAAGAAGGAAAGGAGGAGGGGGAAAGATGGTGGGGGCGGGGCCCACACAGGACCGCAGAGCTCGCTGCCTAACTTCCCTACCTGGGAAGATCTGCAGCCTTCATTAAAGAAATCAATGGCAGGCACCGAGAGGATTCCGAAGTGTTAGGGAAGAGCCGGCTGTGGACTTGTCAGAAATCCATCCCGCATTCTGGCTGTCCCTCCGTGATGGAAGCCTGAGAGGCTGGGGACCGAGACTGCTCCTACCCCCGGCACAGCCGTCTCCTCTGACACTTGCCATCAACCCGTTTTTCTTTCTATCCTTAGATCCGCCATCCTCCTGACTCCGTCCATCCATTTCCGTTTTATCTCTGCACACCCTCTTGTCTGTTCCTGGCTATACCTTTCCACCCCTGGCAAGCACCACACCTGTACCTCCATGGCACAAACCCACACTGGCCCCAGGAAAAGGCACCACCATCCATTGGGAGTTGTCCTTCACACTTCTCTGGTCCCCTGAGTTTCAAAACCCCGTCTGAATCTGTGGGCTTCTCACCATCTCTGCGGCCAGCCCCTACACCATGCCACCATCATTTCTCACTTGGTGTCCCGTGAGAGCCCTCTAAAGGGTCTGTGTCCCCAGGACCCCCTTCTAGTCTGTTCTCCACACAGTAAGCTATAGGGATCTTTAACATAATCTGAGTCAGATCATGTCATTCCAGAACCTTCCAACGGCTTCCCATAGTACTTTAAATTGAATCCAGACTCCAAAGGCGTGGAAGGCCCAGCACAACCCGGCCCTGTCTCCCTCTCCAACTCCTTCCCTACTAATCTTGCTTTTGTTCATATTGCTCCTCCACACTTGCCTTCTCCTGCCCCAGGGCCTTTGCATGTGCTGTTCCTGCTGTCTGGAATGACTGCTCTCAACCCTTGTCTGTCTGGTAAACTCCTAGCATCTTCCAAGGCTCAGCTCAAATGTCCCTGGAATGAAGATTTCCCCTCACTTATACCCAGATCAAGGGCACCCTCCTTGGTGCCCCTAAGGACCTTTGCTGGCCCTTCTGTGACTGTGTCACAACTGGTCTCATGGCTGTTTATGTCTGGATCTGTCGCTTCCCCTGGACTGTGAAGGCCCTGAGGCCTCTGGGCATGTCTGGCTAATCACAGGATTCCCAGTACCGAGCCCAGGGCCCAGCCCAAAGTCGGTGACAATGAGTATTGAATGAACTGGTGTCCATCTCCCACTGGCAGATGCCAAGCTGCCTCTCACTGCACCCCGGGCCCTGGGAGGAGGGGCTGACCGTCGCACCCCCTCAGGCCTGTCCCTCTCTCGCCATTTGTACTTAAGCTCCTCCTTCAGAGCCTGGTCCTGTCCACCTTTAAACGGTCATCCCAGAAGCATCCCCGAGAGAAAACCGGAAGACAGGAGAGCCAGGTGAAGAGCGAGGGCATAGGCCCAAATCCGTGCTCCACCACTTAGCAGCTGGGTGCTCTTGGACAAGTTGCACAACTCCCTGCCTCAGTTTCCCCTCCCATCCAGTGGGGTGAATGGCACTGCTGTGAGGAGGAGCGACACATTGGAGGCGGCGTGCGCTCATGACACGTGAGCAGGTGCTGGCCGCGGCTGCTGCAGCTGGTGGCCTGCTGGTCCTGCCACGGCGTTGGAGGCCTGGGGGTGCCGGGCCGCAGCAGAAAGTAGGGCAGAGCGGCCTCCTGGTTCGCGCCTCCAGCGGCCTCCCCAGCCCCTCCTGTCTTGGTAGGAAATGGGTCGGAGGCAGGACCCGCGCCGGGATTCCTCATTTCCGCTCTAGTCTTCGGGGACAAACACTTTCGGTTTCGTTTAATCATAAAGCTTCTTAATTAGTTTTTTTCTTTTTTGAATTCTGAGTTGCTAAGCTGTCCCCGCCAGGGGGGGTGGAAGTGCTGGTTCCTGCAGGGCCCAGGCCTTCCTGGGCCTAGGAACAGCTGGTCTGGCTCAGGCTACAGGACGCCTGGCTCCTTCCAGGCCCTGCTTCCCTCACATCCTCCTCGGGACATCCAGCAGCACTTCCTGAGCACCTACTGTGTTCCAGGCTGGGGAAATAGCAGACGTTAAGGCAAGGTCTCCTCCCTGGAGGAACAGGCCATGGGAAGGGATCCATTCAATTATTCCTTCAACCAATATTATCAAGTGTCTCTTTGGTGCCGGGCCCAGGGTGCTGGGGAGAAGACAGTGAATGGGACAGATGTGGTCCCTGGCGTCTCGGAATGCGCTGCCTAGAGCAGGGGACGAGCAAGGACACCAGCAATCATAAACCAGCTGGGCGAGGCTGGACAGGAGTTTGCAGCCCCCTGAGACTCACCGGAGTTGGGCTGAGCTGGCAGTTAACAGCGTGGGAGGGTGGGGCTGGGCCTCAGGAGGCAGGGCTCCAGCCAGGGTGGCTGGAACTGCTTCTATCTCTCTTCCTCTCAGCCGTGGGGGAGAGCCTTCTTATCCATTTCCAGTTCCCAACCCTCAACCAAAGCAATTCCTATAGTCATTCACACCTTAGTCTGAATGCAATCCCCATGACACTTTTCCCAGGGGCCCTTGCAGCCTCTGTGGCTGTTTGGTGCCTCAGGACGCAGGGAAGAAAAGTCTCCAGTCACAAAGAGAGTTTCCTGGACCTCTGCTGTCGAGCAGCTCTATCCACCCCTGGCCCCCACCCGGAGCAGGCCCCACGTTCAAATGTACAGACCTCACCTGGCCTCACAGGTGTAGCTCTTGCCCACCATGCAGCAGGCGGGGCAGACGGGAGGAAGGGAAAGCACCCTCCGCTAGGGCCGGGAGCCATGCCGGGCACCGTCCCTGTCCCTGTGCAGCCCCCAGTCAAGACAGCCAATCTCCTTTGGACTCGACACAGGAGGAAACTGAGGCTCAGAGAGATAAGATGCCTGCCCAAGGTCACACGGCCGGTTCTGGACGGAGCTGGGATCTGAACCTATGGCTTCTCACTCCTAGTCCAGTGTTCCTCTACAACACCAATGGCTTCCAACCCCGGGCCCCTGGGTCCTAGAGGGCCCTGAGGGGGTAACAAGGGTCTGATTTTAAAAGCTCAAAGAGAAATAGCTCTCTCCCCATACAAATGGCATCCAGGCAAATGAAAACAAATGTTTTAGCTGGAATCAGAACAACACGGGGAGGGAGCTCTACTCTCACCCTGGAGAGCAGCTCTCTTGAGCAGTTTTAAATCTTGGCTTCAGAATGGGTGACGCTTTTCGGGAAACCAGTTCTTCAGAACCTCAGGCCCACTGAAGTCAAGAGGAAGGGTCTTGGTGAAGAAAGGGTCGTGACCACTGCCTTTTACTGAGATTGCTGGCCCGGTGCCCCAGCCCAGAAAAGCACAACTCAGAGAGGTCAAGACACCTGCCTGAGGTCCCACAGCTGGGGAGGACCGGAGTCAGAATTGAGCCCGGCAGCCTGACTTGGAGGCCAGTGCTCTCTCTGTGGCACCGGGGGGTCCAGTCTCATGGGGATGGTAGAACCCCAGGCCCCAGGGAGGTGGGGGTGGGGAGTGCGCCCAGGAGCACAGGTACCTTCTCATAGTACTGCAGCTCATAGTCCAGGATGACACCGTTGGGCTGGTCAGGCTGGGACCACGACAGGGTGATGCTGTCCACAGTGCGGCTCACCTGGTGCATGATAGACACGGCTGAGGGAGCTGGAAGAGAGGTCAGAGGTCAGGGATCAGGGGCAGCAGGAGAGGGTGCAGCCTCTGGCCCCACTTTAGAGGTACCCAGACGGATAGAGTGGAGAATCAGAGAGGGGCAGGAATCTGGCTGAGGCCACACAGCCTGCCTAGGGCCTGACGGGGGGCAGAGGGACTTGTGGAGGACCGTGGGTGCTGCTCTCATGAACACCTGCAGATTTCAGACACAGACAATGCTGGCCGTCCCCAGGGAGCTCAAGCCACACCAAGTGAGAGATAGATGCACTGGGCCCTTCTCTGGCCTGGCCCAAAACAGCTGGACGAAAGGTGTTCATTCTCTCTTGGAGCTTACAGCCTCCTGGACTGGGGAACTTACAGACCCAAGGCATGATGATGGGACTGTGGCACAGGGGAGCAGAGAGGGTGGGAGACTCCCCTGTTCCTTCCACGAATGTGCACCAAGTGCCTACTACGCACCAGGGATCTAGCACTGAATAAAAATGGCCGCCAAAAATAAATTTATAAAAATAAATCCATAGCTCCTATGGAAAACAGTTTGGCAGTTCCTTCAAGAGTTAAACATAGAATTACCACATGACCCAGCATTTGCACTCCTAATTTTATATCCCCAACGACTGAAAACAGGTACTCAAACAAATACTTGTACATGAATGTTTATAGCAGCTCTATTCACGATAGCCAAAAGGTGGGAACAGCCAAGGTGTTCATCAATGGATGAATGGGTACACAAATTAGGGTGTACACATACCATAGAATCTTATTTAGCCATAAAAGTAAATCAAGTACTGACATGTGCTACAATGCAGACGAACTTCAAAAACATGCAAAGTGAAAGACAGACACAGAGGTCATATATTTTAGGACTCCATTTGTATGAAATATTCAGAATAGGTAAATCCACAGACAGCAAGCAGTTGGTGGTTGCCAGAGCTGAGGGTAGGGAGGAATGGAGAATGTTCTGGGCTTAGATAGAAGTGGTGGTCATACAGCACTGTGAATGCATTAAATGCCACTGAATCGTACACATTAAAATGGTTAATCGTATAGGAATTCTACCTCAACAAAATCCCTCCCTCCCCCTCTCCCCCTGGTGCTGCTAGTTAAAGGAAGGGGACAGGAAGTCAGGGGCGGCCTGTATAGTGGTAGGAGGACTCTTAGACATAATTTAGTCCCATCCCTTCATTTTACTGATGTGGAAGCTGAGGTCCAGGGAGGGGATGTGAGCTGCCCAAGACTGCACGGTGAGTTCATGACACACAGCCTTTTTCTTGATTCCTTATTTCATATTTCACCCAGGCCTACGTTTCTGGCCTCCTTTTCAAGTGGAATGAACTTATGCAAAGCACCTACTATGCATCACCCACAGGCCGGGGCCCTTTGCACCTGTTTCCTGAGCTGACCGTTGGTGAGGGTGCAGCACCAGCCCCACCGACAGGTGGAGACCCTAAAGCTCAGAGGGGCGAGGGGCCTCCTGAGATCACACAGCCCCCACATCCTCAGTAGGGGAGCTGGGATTTGAACCCAGATCTGCTGGGGCAGGGCTCGTCCCATGAGTTGGAGGCGGCCAGGGTACACTCCTGATGCAGTCCCTCCCCACGGTGTGACTGGAGTAAGCCTCCTTGCGTCTCTGGGCCTGAGGTTTTCATGGTCTCAGGAGCGGCTGAGGACTCACCAGGGTGACAGGAGCACCTCCTGCAGTCTCTCTTGGCTCTGGCTCCCGGGCAAGACTGTGACAAACAGATGCCCTGTCTTGGCCCACACAGGGATGTCTGAAGGTTGAGACGGACCCTTTTCCTCCTCATCCAAATCTTGCTTCCCAGGTGCTTTGTATGGATGTGAGCATGGAGCAGGGTCGGGTAGGAGCTCATCGGGACTTGAAGCCTGGCAATGACTCACCTGTTCCCCGCTCTGTTTCTGTCCCTTCAGCCTCAGGGTGGAGGGAACACTCTGTTGCTTAGAAGACCCAGGCTCTGCTCCCTGGCTTGCTGCTTACTGACTGTGTGACCTTGGGCAAGCTGTCCCCCATCTCTGGACCTGGCTTTGTCCTCTGCACCAAGGGCAGGCTGCAAGATCCCTGAGGTCTTGCAGCTCGAACGCTCCCTGCTTGTCCTTCTTTGGCAGCCCTCGGCCTGGAGTTGGATCAGCCCAGAGACCAGCATGAGCCTGAGCAAGTTCGGCTTCCCTCTAGTACCCCTAGTACTGGTGGGAAATTGGCCCAAGGCACCCTAGACAGGGTGGCAGCACCAGCAAGAAGGACTTGGACCTTGGTCCCGGTGTCCCTGACAAGCCTGTTTCTTCAGCACCTGAGGGTGTGCTGCCTGGCTCTTAGCTTGGCTCCTGGTCCTGCCTCTCGGGAAGATCAGGACCCCGCTCCCTGCAGTTCTCTCCTCAGTCAAACAGGGGGACTCTGTCTTCCTTACTGCCTCCCCGAGAATCAAGAGACCCCAATGTGAGCGAAGGGGCCCTGCTAACCATTTTTTATGGAGCACCTACTACATGCTGGGCACCGTGCTATGCTCTGGACATGCATTAACCCATTTAATCCCCACCACAACCTCAAAAGCAGACCTCCTTCAGCCCATTTTGGAGATAGGGAAGCCAAGTATGGAGTAAAGTGTCTTGCCTAAGGCTATACAGAGAGTAAGTGGCAGCACAAAGCAATACATTCTCACCAGATGCCTGCGGATGGGAGGTGACATTTCTCGGGCTCCACGAAGTCACCTGAAGGACTTTCAGGGCTGTGCATACATGTGTCATAGTAACAGTGATAAAGCCCCGAACCTAACACTGACTGAGCCCTTACTCTGAGCCCAGCACTTTTCTAGGCTCTTTATACCTATCAACATAGGTGTAACAGGGAATTCTCACAATTGCCCCATTAGCTGGGGACTACTAACATCCCCAGTTTATAGATGGGGAAACTGAGACTTGGAGCTGTTCAGCAGCCTGCTCAACAGTCATGCAGCAAGGCAGTGCTGGGCCGGACTTGAACCCGGCAGCTCAGGCTCTTCACTGGCACAGCGCCCGGCTCCAGGGAAGTGCTCCCCGGAGATTAGTGAGGTTAACTGCTAGAGCCCAGTGGAGGGCCAGTCAGAGTGCTCCGTGACTCAGTCTCCTCATCTGTAAAATGAGCCTGAGGGTAACGTGCCCCGAGGGCTGTTGGGGGGAGCAGATGTGTGAACTCGTGTCCACTGCTCAGTGTGGCATCTGGCAGGTGGTCAGTGCCGGGAGCGTTCACCCGTGTCACTGGGTTCTTGTCACCGTGCACTGAACTGCTGACCCGTGTCACCTCATTGGGTCCTCTCAACAACAATGCGGAATGGGGGTTAATATCCACAATTTGCAGAGGAGGAGACTGAGGCTCAGAAAAGCATAGTGGCTTCCTCATGGTCACACAGCTAGTGAGGCGCCGAGCTGGGCCTGGAGCCAGGTTATCCTGCCCCAGCCATGCTCCCTGCCACTGTCCCCTCATCGTCTGACCCCATCTCCAGCCCAGACCCGTCCCTCCTTCCGGAGCTGAGCGCTCCGTTCTTCCGGGCTGCCAGAGGCCCTGGCTCCTCTGTGGGGCCAGGCCGTCCACCCTCCTCTCCCACCTGCTGTGGTCCGTGTCCACGGGCAGAGTGTGGCATCACTGTGCGTCTGTCATACCCGTGAGCCTCGGACACACGCTGCACCCACAAGCATGGGTGAGCCGTACTGCCATCAAGCCACAGGGATGTGACCTCAGTCAGCTGGGGCTTTCTGTGGGCAACTGAACCCTCCGATGAGAAGATTTCAACCCGGCCCCAGAGAGGCAGTCCGGCGCAGTGGTCGGGAGCCGGAGGGTGGAATCAGACTTGCAAGGAAATCTGCTCCCCTCTCCCTGGTGCTGTGGCCTTCAGCAAGTTCTCTCAATCTCTCTGAGCCTCCCTTCCTCCCCCCGCCCATCCACTACGGACCCTTCCCTGGCAAGGATGTCACGAGCACGAACGGAGAAATGCATGTAAAGGCTTGACCACCGCGCCTGGCACCTTCAGGAGGGAGAGCTTGTTAAAAACATGTCAAGGGCCACCTGGCTGGCTCAGTGCATGGGGCACGCGACTCTTGATCTCGGGGTCATGAGTTTGAGTCCCACATTAGGCGTGGAATTTAAAAAAAAATTAAAGAACACTTTAAGAGGCAGGGATGGGGGGCACCTGCGTGGCTTTGTCGGTTGAGGGTTCGACTCTTGGTTTCAGCTCAGGTCATGATCTCAGGGTCGTGGGATCGAGCCCGTGTCCAGCTCCCTGCTCAGTGGGGAGTCTGCTTGAGATTCTGTCTCCCTCTGCCCCTCCCCCGACTCTTGCTCTCTCTCTAAAATAAATAAATAAATCTTTAAAAAAAAAAAAAGGGACATTTCAAGAGTGTAGAATGGTGCCAGGGGCTGTGGGCTGGGGGAAAGGAGGAGATGCTGGTCTAAGGGCACAAACTTCCAGCTGTAAGAAGAATCAGTTCTGGGAGCTAATGGACAGCACGGTGACTATAAGAAACAATACCATATTGTATAATTGTAAGTTGTTAAGAGAGTAGATCCTAAATGTTATAACCACACATGCAAAAACAGTAATTATGTGAGAGGTTGGTGGTGTGAACTCACCTTACTGTGGTAATCATTTAGCAAAATATACACATGAATCAAGACATCACATCGTATACCTTAAACTTTCATGTTATTTGTCAATAATCTCTCAATAAAGTTGGAAAAAGTATTTCAATTCACAGAGTGGCTATGGGGCCAGCATGATGCTGGGTTCTGGGGCTCAAGAGAGGAACCTCTCAGGTCCCTGCCTTCCAGGGGCTTGGGGTCTAATGGGAAAAAGCATATTTTTTCACACAAGGATTGCCAGCTCCAGGCTGGAGCTCCTGGGTCCAAGCCCCCGGGTCAGGACTCAGCCAAGGTGACTCAGACCTAAGAAGGGGCAATGCCCTTCCCTTAACTTCTCTCCCCGTGATTTCACCTCCCAACAGTGAAG